CTTTCGCCAGGTATAACCGGCTGTCCTGGGCTATTGATGTTGTTTGTTTTTTTTTTCCCAGCACAATTATATAAAAGCATGTAAAGCTGCATGCTTGCCCCCCTGCCCCATGCTGCCTCTGCTCTGGGGATGCCTCCCTAAAAGAGCTGGGGAACATGCTGCTTTGCTGGGAAATCTCTTTGCTATGGGGCTGTCGCTACAATTTATGACCAAGCAGTAGCAACCATGGTCACCTTGCGCCACCGAGGCCAGCCCAGCCCTGGGGCAGCAAAGCTGGAGGAAAAAATGGGGAGTGCAGAGGGCAGGTTGGACCCAGCAACAAACGTGCGCAAACACGTGAGGTTTTGCACCCGTTAAGAGGGAGCCTGAATAGGAGCGACTCGAGCAGTGTCTTTGCATAGCTGTTCCCACAGAGCCGGGTCCCTCCAGGGACCTTGTCTCCGGCTCCAGAACCAGCTCAGACCTCCACAGCCCAGAAGGTTCCCAGCTTCACCCGAGAGAAGAGGCAGTGGCAGGAAAGGAAGACCCAGGGAACCTTGCAGAAGAGATGGAGGGAGGAGGGAAGGGGCTTTCCTTACCCAGAATAAGGGAGAGATGGCACCCTGCGCTTTCAGCAACCCACAGACCTTCCCTACAACTTCCTCTACCCATTTCAGACCCCACCGTGCAAGCAGAGGGGGCTGCCTACAGGCACGTGCAGGCTCACACCTCGCCCCTCACAGTGGTTTCCCAAACCAAACACCAACAGGAAACTTCAATGAAATTCAAAAGGGAAATTGCAGTTACCACTGCCCAACACATACACACGTGCCTTCCTCCCCTCCACACCCCCTTCCTCCCGGGAAGGGAAGCAGAGAGCCTTCGCTGCAAGGCAGCCCCTCCTCAAACCCCATTCACATGCCCAGAGCTGTACAGGGCAGTTGCGCTGCCCGTGGACGCAGCAGAGCGGAGAAGCACAGCCCCGGCTTGATCGCTTGTGAGACATCCCCGTGCTGAGGATGTGCAGGAGGAGCCGGTCCAGGTCCCCTAGGGCCGGCGAGTGCTTTGGATCTGTGGTTGCCGATGAGGATGTGCAGGAATGAATGGGCTGTGTGTAACGGGCAAGGTGATGAGGAGGGGGTGAGGGGAGGAGGAAGCGCGTCGCGCTACGCCTCCGCTGCCTCGACTCCTCCCGCGGCCTCCTTAGGATGTCACAGGCTGGATGGGGAGCAGACTGCCGAACTTAAAGTGCTGGATCACAGGAAACTTCTCCAGGCACTGCAGGAGGGGAGATAAAGAGGGGTGAATTCAGGAGACATTTCCACCTTATGCATGCAGCCAGAGCTACATCCTGCCTCCGAGCTCAGGAGGCAGCGAGCTTCGGGCCACTCGGCTCAGCTGCAGGCAGAGGGATCAGTCCCGTGTCTCCCCCCCACATTCCTGTCAGGCTCCTCCAGCCAGTAACACTTCATAACCCCACCTTCCCTTCAGCCAGAGCCTTTTGCTTGCTGAAATTCAGGCCTGGAGCATGAGCAGAAGAGGTGTGTTTATGTCAGCAGCTTTCTCTCTCACCACCTCTCATTCGAGCTCATCTCTTTGAAGACCTTCACCCTACAAACACTTTGAGAACTGCAGAAACCCCCTGGGGAAGAGACTCTCCCTCCCCAGGACAGTGCCTATGCTCTAGGTTCGAGGTACCATCCTGCAGCTGCAAGGCACTGCCCAAACTGCATTCCAGATTCTCAGGTCTTTGGCAGACAAGCACCAGTGATTTTGCTGCCATAGTTCACGATGTGATCCTATTCCCAACAACCCCTTACCCTTGAAGTTCCCACTCCCCATTGCAGACTTATGGTAGAGGGAGTGTGGATCACAGATCAGTCATATACGTCCACTACCAGGCAGCTTAGCTCCAAGCTGCTTCCTCCAGCTCAGCCTGGGCTCTGCGCAGGGAGAGCTGGGCTGCGAGGGCACAGCCCCTTCTGCTCACCATCCTGCCAGGGCACGGAGGTCAGTGACTGTGGTCAATAACCACGTCAAAGTTTTCCAGCACTCGCCTGGCAGAGCCACTCAGAGCTCTGTATTTTTGAGTCATTGCAGATGCAGACTGCCCAAAACTCACAGAGAGCACAGAGCAGACTCACTTCCAGACAGACAGACCTCAGCAGGACGTGTACACCAACCCGTCAGCTGCATCTACACTAACATCACCCATGTTAATTGTGAGTAGCTGTGCTAAAAAAGGGCTGTAGACCACCTCATTGTGCTGCAAATGCAAACGCATCTGGGAGGGCGTTTGGGGGCATGGCTAGTGAGATGGTGGCCACCTCCTCACTGCAGGCAGAATCATAGAATGGTTTAGGTTGGAAAGGACCTTGAAGATCATCGAGTTCCAACCTCCCTGCCATGGGGGAGGACACCTCCCACTAGACCAACACCTCCCACTAGACCAAGAAGGGCAAGTTCTTCCCTCCCTAGACAGCACGATAGGAAAAGGAGAAAAGAAAGTCAAGTGCCCCATGTCTTAGAAGGAGAGCCTTTCCCCTGTACCCAGCTAAGGCATGGGCCTGCTGATGGGAGTCTTATTCTACAGGAGATATGAAGCACATACAACCAAAGCAGAGCAGCTACCAACTAACAGGAGTCCATCTAGTCCCAGCGATTCCTCGGCACAAACAGCACCTTCTCAGAGCCAGGGTGGACAGGACGCTGCGCTAGGTGGGCGCCCAGCTCCCCACAAGCTGCAGAGCCAGCAGCAGAAGAGTGTCAAGGCAGCACTGGCTCCTGCCTGCAACCAGCAGCCTCCCAGGCAGATCCTGGGGTCAAGATGCACAGCTCGTTCCTCCAGGCACTTCTTCGAAGCACAGTTCCTTCCTACCAAAGGGAGGCAAGAGCCATGTCGTAGTTCTAACTCTTCTTTCCACAGGAAAAGGAGCCTCGTGCCCTCCATGGGCTGAGCTGAACCCGCTGCAGCAGGGGGGATCCCAGCTCTGGGGATGGGGAGGAAGCGGCGCGCTGCAGACAGCCCTTCACCCCAAGGCAGGGCACAGGCAGAGGCAGGCAACCTGCCCTCGTGCTGTCGTCATCAACCAGCGGGAGGATTTGTGCTCAGAAGCCCAGGCCTATGGTAATCCCTTTGGAGCCAGAGGTCAGACAACTGGTTCCAGCACAACCAAACTGCTCGCAAGCAAACTGGAGCCGAAACAAGTTTGGAAGTGGTGAAAGTACAGCATGGCTGTATGCACTCCTGGGGAAAAAATAGCCACGCAGAAAACCACAAGCCTCCATGGCAAGTCACCAAGGAGAAATAAGTCCTGTGACCATCAGGGGACATCACCTTCAAAGCTTCCTAATGCTCAGAGCTGCTGCCATCTCCCAGCACAACCACTTAGACAAACCCTCAGAGGAAGCAGTACTGGATAACAGTGACGTGAGGGAAGAACAGACAGAAATGAATATTGGAGATGTCGACAGCTAGAAATGTCAGCCCAACTAGCTCCAAGTAGTCCCACGGAAGACCAGACTGGTTTGGGCTCCAGATGAAGAGACCTTACCACAAGTGAGAAGAATGGGTACCCATTCCACTTAACACATCACCAGCCCAAGAAGAGACAAGCAGAGAAACTTCCTCCTCTGTCCAGCAGGACTAGCACAATTTTACTGGGTTATCAGAGGTGTCAAGAGACAAGACCCTCCTTGCATCACTTGTGGGTGAAAGTGATGTAGCCAACCCTAGGTCTAGGCGGGCACAGGCTTATTTTCTTCTTGCCACCATCTTGATCATGCTGAAGGTCTGCTTGGGACTCAACTGGGGAGTAGATTCATGCATCAAGTCCAACCTTTAAAGATTGAACTGGGACTAGATTAGTTACAATGGAAAGTATTTCCCGACTGACTGCAGCAGAGGAAGAAAGGTCAGGAGACACAAAAGCAGGCTCAGGGGAAAAACATCAAGGCTGATGCTTTAACCACACTCTATTCTGTCGACTTCTTCACTCGCCTTTGATGGAGAGAATAAGAAAAGCCCTTACACTTCCAAGTGAACGCGTCTTCACCCATTATATTTTATAATATAAATAGACACATTTGAGATTTCATAAACACACAGAGCTGAAGACCCATTGTCTTCAGGCTACTGCCCATCTGCAGCAAGCACCCTGGCGTGCCTGGATCCAGACTAGAGCTCCCAGCCACACGGATGCACCTGAGCTTTCCGTCGGCTGTTTAAAGTCACCTCATAGAGTGGACAGAGAAGACACAGAGTGTCCAGAGTGCTTTTTAAATGAACCAGGTCTGGGGACTGCCCCACTCCTACCAAGCGAGAGCAGGTTGCGAGTGCGCATTTGATTTCACTGCTTTTAGCAAGTGACCCCTTTCTGCTGCTGCCTCCACTCCAAACCCCGTCACACGCAGTGCTGGCCAGCACTGAGCACTTCTCAGCCACCCCAGACACGTTAAGGAGCTGAAGCCTCCATCCGAGTGTCTGATTTCACCTGATCTAATTGCAACGGGTGATGAGAGGGGCAGGGAGAAGGGAGGGGAGGGAAAAAAAAAAAAAAAGGAAATCTTACTCTCACCTTAGCCAGTCAGATAAGAAGGCAACACCACAACCCCAAACCTTCCCTCTCTTTACCATCACAGTCTGAGCTTTGCCACAGAAGCTGCCTGCCTTGAGCTGGGGGAAGACCCACGTCTGCACTTGGGGGCTGCTGGTTCACTTATCTTCTGCTAATGTTGGCAGTGGTTAATTGGAGAAAGACCACATGGGTGAAGGCAGCACAGCTGGGAACATTGAGCAGAAACTTGCTCCAGGAGCCAGCAGCAAACAGAAAAGATCTTCTGCAGTGACTGCGGGTGACAGGCCTGAAACACCCAGAAGGATTCAGTTTTCAAAGGATGAAGCCTCAGCAATTCCTAAACATTGTGCCATTCCCAGAAAATCAGTCCAAGAGATCCTTTAGTTGCAAATGTTGGTAAAACCTGCATGGCCGGGCACACCGTAACTCTGCCCAGTCACCACCATGTCCATGCTCCTCTCATCTCCCAAGCCAGTCAGGAACTGGCTGAGCCAGAAGCAGAGTGGGAGACTCCCCAGAGCAGATACAAAGAACCAGTGAGGACTCCGCAGTAGGAGTTCCCCCTCTCCTCTGCACATCCAGGCACCACGCAGCGCCAGGAGAAGACGTTGCTGCATGAGGACCACGTGCTTAGGAACAGTCCTTTAAGATCTACAAGTGTTCTTTGAGGAAAAAAAAATAAATTAAAGCGCTTTGGTTAACTCAATGTTTTCTACACCTTAGCCTAAATTTGTGTCATTACTCTTCCTAGCAGTTTTTGCATTCTCCCTTTGACACAGCTATATCTCTAGAAAACCACCAGTACAGGATCTGGCATTTCCACACAGAATGTCATCTGCCGTTCAAAACAGACCAAAGCCTCCAGAAAAGACCATGTCTTGGGTACACCTAAAAGATCCACAGAATCTCCTGCTCTCTAGAACGGGCTGCACGGTCCCCAGCAGGTCAGGTAGTTCTGCCAGGACACAGTGGCCCCAAGACATCAGTGGACATGCACGTTGCACCCTGGGTACATCACTGCCAAGCTCCTCTGGCAGAGTTTGTGGTGCATGAGGTGGAAGCAACCATACGGGGCATGTGGGGCAACAGGCAGCAGTACCCAAACACTGTTGGGCACATGGGGTGCCAGGGGAATACCCGAACAGTGTGGGAAGGAACTGGTCCGAAGGAAAAGAAGGACCTAGGCAGGGCTGCCAAGGCAGCAGCAGACCACGCTCTGGCTCAAGGTTTTAGCATATCCATGTTTCACTTTAACTGCACTCCCAGGCCTGGGGTCTTCCCTCCAGTTCCCCCAGCCCCTCCAGCTCTCACACCAGAGCCTCCAGCTCAGGGTTTCCCAGCAGGCAGCATCTCCATTCCCGAGATGGAACTTGGAGCGGGGGCAGTCCCAGAGGGGCAGCCCAGGGGCACCCCTCCAAGGAGCAGCCAGCGGAGGGGGGGGGGGACCCCCAGCCCAGCTTCTCCTCTTTGGAGGCCGGGAGGAAAGCTGAGCTGGGGGCGGAAGGAGCCAGCGGGCCTGGGAGTGACACCTCGCAGATTAGAGAGGTATGTGGCCTGGAACCTAAACACAGGATGTGCAGTGCAGAGGAAGGGCTGGGGGAGGGAGCGCTCTTCGTTCGGCACAGTTAACCCCTTTGTGCGCTGGGCCTGAGCAGAGCTGCCCGCCAGCCTCTGCCATACGTCCCAGCAGCAGGAGCATGGCAGAGACCACAGGGTATAGGATTAACTCCTTCAAGCCCCAGCAGTCTCCCTGGTGCACCGGGGAGCTGCTCTGCCATCCCTGCTCTGCCAACGGTGACTCCCTGCCGAGCCAGCACGGTCCCATCCTTCCCAGCAAGGGATGCTGCCTGTCGGCCGTTCCCTCCGGAGGCCCAGATGTGGCGGTTCCTGTCCTGCTTCCTCAAGCTCAGGGTTAGCTGGAGCAGGAAGGGGAGATAAGGGAGAGCCAAAACTGCCCAGTTCCCCAGGTCAGGGTTCGCCAGGAAAGCCTGCTGGGGCAGCGCCAGCAGAGCCCTGGTGGGTGGAGGGCTGCCAAGACGGGGAGGTAGCTGTGGCCTCGCCGGTCCGGCACACTGCACGGGAGGGATTCGTAGCGAGGGGAGATCGGTAGGAAGCGTTCAGCCTGCTCTGGGGCTCTTGAAACCTAGGATGATAATTTAAATTAAGTCTCCTCCAGCTGGTAAAATAGCAGTGCAGGGACCAGAAGGACAAGCAGGTCAAGACACAGGCCCTAATTTGAGACCTGCAACATGCACTATGGGAAGATGAGAAACGACAAGAGTCACGTCTGCAAGGAATGGCCACCTTGGGATTGGTTTTGGGGCAGACACTAGGTGGGCAGGAGCCTCCTTCTAGCCAGCAGCACCTGAACTGCCAAGGGCTCCCAAACCACACTTAGCATGGGGTAGCGACTCGCTGTGATGGGCCCCCAAACCAAGGAGCAGTAGAAGAGAAGAGGTGACCCGCAGCGAAGCGGAAGGGAGGAGGTGTGTGGCCAAGCAGCCTCCCCCTGCCCACGGCGCTCACCTCTGCCTTGTACATGCGGATGAGGCCCTGGTTGACCTTGGACCAGGAGGGCACGGCACTGATGTTCCAGAGCTGGTTGGAGTGCTCGGCAAAGGGGCCCGTCTTCATCTGAAAGAGACCCGAAAGCAGGGCTGAGGGAGCCGAGCCAGCCAGGAAGCTCATGCACCAGCAGTGACTCACGCTCACACTCTCTCCAAGCAAACATTCCCACCAAGCCCTGTGACCCACGCACCATCCACCTCACTGCGCCTTCCCTCCTTCCCTCCACGCTCCCTCTGCAGCGGCCACATCACATGAAGCTGTGGCAATCCAGCTCCCCCCTTCCCTGATAAAATTAAGCCTTTTCCTGCCACGCTTTCCTCATCAGACCTCCCTCTGAACACCTCCTTTTTAATGATCGCATTAAAAAAGCCCCATGTAAGTCCCGTTCTCCCCCCAAGTAGAGCTTGGCTCAACGCTGTTCCTATTCTACCCAGAAACCTCCCAGTGCAGCACTGCTGGGCTTTCCAAGAAAATGACTCATTCCCCATTCAGATCAACAACAAGCAGCAGCGATAACCGCCACTGCCTTCCCTGAATAGAGGGCAGCGCAGGTTGGCAGCAGCTCCGGTGTCCGCAGCCCACTCCACACCTGCCTCCAGCAGAGGAGGGCTCCAGGGGAGGCAGGAGCAGAGGGGACATGGTCCAGTCCCACTCTCAAAACTGGCTCCAGAGCTGTGAGTTGCTAGCTTGCAGCAGATGCTTTACATTTTTTTTTTTTTATTAGTTTTATTTTTTTTATACCCCAGCGTTTCTGCTCCCAGGGTGAGGAGTTTGGAGGAGGGAGGGCAGGGGGGAAGCTGCAATCAGGGACAGTTGCGTGTAGATTCCCTGGGTAGTTGTCTCTCCTTCTCCTCCATGAACAAAAACAGACCCTCGGGGAGAAAAAGAAATACAACGCCGCCACTCTGACTGAGCAAAGTTCCCATGACATCAGAAACCACAAGGCCGAAGCTCACGCTAAAAAGGAGCGTGGGGAGAGAGGAATCTCTTGGACTGCCGTTCTCGACTTGGGGCTCGAACAACTAACCCCTTCCCTCCACACACGCACAGGCCTGGAGCAAGGGTGGGAAAAGAGCCTCCAAAATCACCTCTCTGCCTACTGTAAAAGCCAGCAAGGCAGATCAATCTGCTTTGGGAAATTGCTGCTGCCCTGCTGCAAGGTCTGTGTGGCACCAGCCTGCAGCAGAGAGAGAGAGAGGGAAAGGGGGAGGGAGAACCCAAAAAACCCCACTGCTTGGAGGACGTGTTTCAAACCTGCTGACCCCGGGGCTGGAGCTCTGGGGGAAGCGAGCCTGTAGTTCTTCCCGCTGCCGGGAGAGCACAGCCACATCCCCGCTGCCCCTCGGCAGTTCTCGTGAGGTGGGGGATGACGGATGAGCCACTCAGCCGTTCCCGCTCCCCTCCGCCGTGCGCGCTTTCCTTACGGATTCAAGATGAAACGCGCAGATACACAAAGCACACCGTTACCCGACAGAGCCGGCGCGTTAAGCGCAAGGATTTTGGCACCCAAGTTAAAGGCTGCCGGGGAACTCAACGCCAGGCAATTCGCTCAAAGCATCTCCCCCCGGCCCTTGTAGGGGAGATTTGGCTGTATGTGTTTTGACGCCAAACCTTCCTCCAGCATTGCCGCCCTTCGCAGGGGTACAGCTTGCGTCAGCCACCACCATCACATTTTGTTTCTTCCCCCCTTCCCAAGCTGGAGCGAGCGTGCCGGAGGCAAGCGGGGCTGGCCGGCCACAAGCTTGTGCCTGGCACAGCCACCACCACGGCCCTCCTCACCGGGGGTGCCAGGCGAGGGACGGCTTGGCTACGGTTTCAAACTGGGGAGGAAAAAATAAGGGCGATGAGGGGAGAAACAACAACAACAAAAAAATCATCTCCTCCCAGCCACAAAGGGCGAAGAGGGAGAGCTGGCGGGGGGAGAGCGAGAGGCGGCGAGAGCGCTGCAGTCCCGCAGTGACCCCAGGGGAACGGAGTGAGTCAGAGCAGCCATATTGAGCAGGAAATTACTCACAGACGCGGCGTTCCTGCCTCTCGGTTCCCAAGAGAATCGGCCTTTTGTAAATGGTTCCTCTGTCAGTGCCGGGGGGAGGGGGACGGCTGAGGCCGTGCTTTCCTGTCAGCTCCTTCCCTTCCAGCCCAAACCCCAGCCCTCCCGCCCTGGGCTCTCGGAGGAGCATCTGGGCGATCGCAATGATCCACCACAACAGCCGGGGCGTACCCGGCACCCCTCTTCTGCACAAACACACACAGCCCCGCCATCACTGCCGTCCACAGCCCCTGGAGCTGCTCCCAAACCCTCCTCATCCTCACACCTACAGGTACCACGCACACCCCATAGCACCCTTGGGCAGGCAAGGCGGCAGCAGGGGGGACAGCTCAAGTGCCAGCCGGCTCCGTAAACCTCACCCTATCCAAGAACCACGCGTTCAGGTCCAAAACCACCCTGTAGATTTCCCAACATCAGGCCAGTTTACGCAAGGCTCGCTGCCGTGCCTGCGCAGGGTGGTGCTGCTGTAAGGAGAACGCCTCAGCAGGGTCAGCCTGGACATCATCTCGCTGCTACTTTAAGAGCGAAGGTTTAAATATACACGCGGCAAACACCACAACGGTGTATATTCACATCCCTGAAACGTCACGCAGGGGTTGAGAAAAATATCTGCCCAAGAGAATATTCTCTTGGTTGAAAGAAAACAACCTACCTCGGTTGTAGCTTGCTGAAACAAAACCTGCTCTCACGTCAGTAAGACGTACCAGACCCACCATGGGAACCGTTATGGTGTTTGCTACATGTTTAACACCTTTAAAGGAGAGCTGTTTCCATCTGACAAGCTCAGAAGAAAATAATATCGTTCATTTATTAAAGACTTTAATCCCTTCTATTTTTTACCCTGCTATTTTGTTTTGTTGTTGATTTTGGAGAGAAAGCATTTGGAGGCACTCAAGGCTCTCTCAGCCCCCCCTAGTGGCAGTAACACCCTTCCCAGGCATTTGGGAGAGAAAAAACAAATTTTAAAAGCAAAATCTTTACAAAAAAATAAACAGTACTTGCACGAAGATGGACTGAAAATGCCACGCACTTGATAACCCAGGTTGTTGCCATCCCTTAGCGGCTCACTCCAGGAGCGCCCGAGAGGAGGGCTCCCTGCCACCAGGTGGCACTGAGGAACACAGCCGAAACACTCAATTCCATGATTTTGAACAAACGTATGCAGAAATAAGCGAAATCATTTATTTTAAAAGCCTACTAAAAAGCTAAGTTTCTGCAGGCAAAAGCAGAGACCTGAAGAAGACCTGAAGAAGCAGGATGGTGCTGTGTATTTTAAACTTTACGTGTCACTGCAGAATTTTCTACACACATGTCAAGAGATGCAGGGTTTTATGTTTTTAACAGGTTAGTGCCCTGTCTGGATTAGAGGCCCAAATTAAAATAAATCTTAGAGCATCTTGGCTCCTGCTTTCCTGTCCTCAACTTGATCTCTTCCGCCAGCGCCTCGTTACTACCCACAGCGTGATTTAACTCTGCATTAAAGGTTAAACCCTGTGAGGTGCTAAGTACCAACGAACTCTACTAGATACAGCAGTACTTGACACAGCACCTCCTGGGGTTTGGGCCAAAGGCTCCTATGAAAATTTCCAACATGAAAGGCTAAGTTCATATTCTGTAACCTCCCTTCTCATCTAATCACTAATTTAGAGAGGCGAGGAGGGGGGAAAGCGAACAGAACAAAGGGGAAGAACTGCATTCTGTCTTTCAAAATTAATCCCATCAACTCTCTCTTGCCAGAGACGAGAAATCCCTCACCACAACAGAGTGTGTGGTTCGTGCTCTCCCTGCCCAGATCATGCAGCCAGGGGGATGGTAGAAACGTGGCCAGGTCATCCATTGCAGCTGAGGGCAGAAAGCCACGAGCTCCCTCATTGAGAAATACTGCCCGCGGTTGGCAACACGCTGAATATCACCAGTCCCTCACCCGAGGGCCACAGAGCGCTTGAGCAGAAACGTGGTCCTGATAGCGTTGCCAGCTGGGTGAACCTCAGCACCATCTCTGCTCTACATTCCTTGCAAATAAGTAGCATTTAATGGGCAAATCTTTTGGTAGAATCTGGAGGAGACCAAGCTGCATGGAGGTTTTTTGAGCCTGCCCTAAGCAAGGGGAAGCCCAGGGCCTGCTGGGCAGCACCCAACGGCTGGAGGGAAGGGAGGTATCCTGGCAAGCCCAGCAGTTTTGCAGCTCCTACTTCATCTTCCTAGCACACTTGCAGGCACCAGTCTTCCCCATCCAAGTTCCCACTGACAGATCCAAGTGATGATCCAAGGTTATTTGTTTGCTCTTGTTACAGCTCCCTTCAACTGCAATCCACAGCCCATCTAGCTCAATTATATTTTCCTCTCAACATCCCTCTCTCAACTCATTCAAGGAGAGCACCTCAGACATGCAACAACAGTTCATCCGCACAGTTCCATGAGAGCAAACAAACAAGCAAAGGAGGAAGAGAAAACCACAACCAGAGCCAAGTATCTAATGTCAAGAGAACCTCCCCGTGGGACAAACCTTCCAGTCCTCACCTCTGTAATGAAGAGGATGCACTCCAGGAACATGAAGTCCTTATGGTTTTCGTTTACCACCTTCTCATCAACAAAGTGTCGAGGCTCCAGGTTTGGATGGTCTAAAGAGTAAGAGACAATAGGAAGTAATCTGTATGGCAGCTCCATTCTGAGACCATGTTCAATCAGGTCGTGTCCTGCCCCGCTTCCACAAGAAACACGATCCTCCCATCAGAGCTCTTCAGAAGTCAGCACAGAGCTGCTCCCTTCCATCCCATCTCCCACCCCAGTGCCTCAGCAGTGAGAGCACCTGGTAAACTCCCCAGAGCAGAAAGTGTGTTTTCTACCACCAAAAACAAGACTCTCCTTTTAAAAAGCTTGTAGTCATTGCAATAGAGGCTGATTTACTGTACAAAGAAGCCTCCCATGTCCCAGCCTAAGCAGCTAGCTTTATTTGGAACGCTGAAGGAAAAAAAAAAAAAAATCCAGCCTCCAAGCAAATTCTTCTGGTGTATGATACACAAATTTGACATATTTGTATTTAAAAGTCGGTCCCAAGCCCCATCATCTTTACAACCTAGACAGACAGGGCAGGGGGCAGGCTGGGACATGAGAAGGTTTTTATTAGTACCTATCAGCTGGGAACTGCCCCATATGAAAGGCAGAAATTGGAAGTCATCCAAGCCCCACACGCCCTGGCTGCCAGCAGGTTCCATCCTGTAGGTCTTCTGAAGTTTTCGCATCACTTCTAGGTACCTGAGACCCAAGACAGAAGGAAGCATTAAGACAAGGCCTTCTTCTGTCTTCCTTGACTTATATGAGGACAAGAACAACCAGTTTAGAGGACACAACTTTATCACTTGCAAGCAGGACCTCATAAAGCAGCCTGATGTTACATATAGTAGCAAACATCAGCACCTTTTAAAAATTGGAGGTTTTTTACAACAAATTCACTAAGAAATCAAGTGGCAGGGGTTTATTTTACCTGCAGTGTCTTATGTTGGTGCAGATCTTTCCCCACCCCAACTGTTATTTGAAAACATTGACACTTCGCTCTCCTTCAACAACTTCCAAAAGAGCTCTGAAAGCTTTCCACCTTACAACAACCGCTACTTTCACTTTTCAGGTGGAAAATTAAAGCTGGAAGTACTATTGAAGGAAATTGTTTCCATGCCACCGAACAGTGATACAGCTGGGATTAGATCTCTGGACTCCAAACACCCATTCCACCAGTTTCATCAGTACCAACTCTACCTCCTGGGCTGGAAACACACCTAGAGGAGCAGTGGAGGCCTGCCAGTTTCATCGAGGTTTTTTGTGTTTTTTTTTTTAATGCCTGAAGAGATGTTAGATCCTTTTAGATATTCCTGTCTATCATAAAGCACAGAGCTTCACCCACATACCTCTGCGGAGCTCAATAATTTGTGTTCAACTAAAGTAACTTTCCAGAAAGACACCCAGCCTCTAACAGACACGGTGCTGTCAGCCCTTTTGGAGATAGATGCAACAGGTCACTGTACAGTCCACTAAACAGTACATCTGCCTCCTAATATTGCCTATGTTTGTCTTCAAACTGTTTTCCCACTGTTTATTTCCCTCTTCCCCAGGCCAGCAAGCCCTTCAGCACTCACACTCTCTAATTATGCACACACCTTCGTACAAGGCTCTTGATTTGCTCAGCTCCTGCCCCAGGAGGAGGAGGCTCTTCTTACAATTTCTTATTCCCAAAGGGGTGTGGGTGAGTGGAAGAAAGGGGGGTACAATCAGCCCCGATTACAGGAGGATTCTGGTGTACAGAACAGGCAGTAACATCTCACCCATCTCAGCTGGAAGTGGACGCTGTCAGGGGTCTGCCCCCAAACAGCCCAATGCTTCCAGCCCTTCTCCTTCCTTTACCTCACCTGTTAAATACTTTAAAGACGATGGCCATCTGGTCATCCACTCTGAGCACACCGATTTTGCAGAGGCAGCAGAGAAAGGCTGCAAACGCAGCTTCGTGCCCTAGAGTTAAAAGAGATGAAGAGATGTGACACTGGTGTCTCCAGTCCCCAGGACAACCTTTCTGTGGGCAGTACATCATCTCCTCAGCAATCACAGCAGCCACAGTCCCATCTCAAGAGCCCCAACCCTATTGTCCCTATTAATGCCTCGAGCTGACATCCATCACACACCCAACAAACACCTTCTAGACACTTATAAGGTGAGTATCAACCTGGAGAAAAAAGTAAGTTCTTGGGGGAAAAAAAAGCTCCAACACTGGGCAGACTGGGAGCAAGGCAGGGCCTTTCCCAGGAGCTTGGCACAGCAGGGGAAGTGGAGCACTGCAGAGTCATCTGCTCGGGCGATGCAAGAGAACCTCACATCTGCAAGTAAACAGATTTCCTCCTGCTTCAAAAATATCTCTGTGTCAGAAGGATGTAGATCCCATGACGCTGCTGGGAACAGTCCGTCCCAGAAGGTACCGGGATCTCAGGCTGAGCCTCTGCAGTTTGGTCCTCAAGGCAACAGCAAGGAAAAGAAGCAACCAGCAATACCCATGAACGTCTTTTAGTGGAAGGAAACACAGAAGGGAGAGTACAAGATGAACAGCTCTATGCTATGAAGAAGTGCAGCTCCCAGTGTAGGAACAAGGTGCACCTATGCTCTCGCCACTGTGAGCTAGGACACAGACCGCTGGGTTGGGATACACAGGAGGGGAGGAAAGGCTGAATTTCCTTCCCCGAGACGACAAAACCCCAGCCAGTGGGTCTCTTTCCAAAGACAACATCTCCCCCTGGTGCCAGCGAGCCGCAGCTCTCCTGGCAAGCACTGCACAGCCTCCAGCTCTTCATCCTTTTGCCCCTGTCCTCCTCTTCCTCTCCCTGCCCGGGTCCAAAGTCATGTTTCCTTGCACTCACAGGGTCCTGCTCTCCTGCTTTTTGGTGAGGACACTCTCCACCTGTCCTCCAGAGAGAGGAACAGAGCATGTACACAATTCTAGATTTAGGTGTAACTGAAGCCACTGTGGCTACTCCAACCTGCAATTCAGTATCTCCTTAGGTGCAAAATGCTTCTACCTTCAGATTGCAAAGTCCCTCTGTAAGCAGTGATGTCACTTCTAGGGAGCACCAGACCTCAAGCTACCTCCCACTCAACATGAATGTGGTTCCCACTCTAGTTCCAATTCAAGCAGTTATATTCTATCGCTCTAAACTGCCTATTGTGGATCAGCAGGTACAGGACTGCTGTCTGCGGTAAAGCATCTCCTACAGCTTATCCCAGGACGGTCTGCACAGCTTAGTTGACATTTCATCAGATGAGACATGAAAAAGTTGTCATAGCTCTAACACAGCCCTGCTGCCAGCCCCAGCCCTCTCAGTCGTAGCCCACACTGGACATAGAGGTGAGGAGGCTCTAGAAGGAAGGTGTTTGTACCAAGCTGGCACTAAAAAAAAAGTGGCAAGAACATATTTAAATAAGTGCAGCACCAGGCTCCAAAGGGTCACTACCTGAGGAAGTCAAGCCTCAACCAGCATGCACGACCAGGTACCTGTGCCATAATCAATGCGGGTGGAGTTCCCCACAGATTCCTTCAGGTACACGGCCACTTCTGGTGCAGCGTCAGCCAAATGCTTGGGGATCACTGTTGCCACCAATTTTTCTGCTTCCTGAAAGACATAAAAGACTCCCTCGAGTGACTGCAGATCTGTCACAGTCTCCAGGAGCAAGTTACCCGCTGCTCAGACACTGTTGCAGAGGGGGAGCTGCAACGGTGCACTGCTAGAATGGCCAGAGTCAGCATTACAGAAGACCAAATTATCCTGTTCAAGAAGTCATCTCCAGAGACGGAGCAATTCAGGGAGAGCTTGTCCTGACAATTATCCAGGCCACACACATCCTATAGGAAAAAAAACCTTCACCATCTAAGTACATCAACCCAGTGACCTACTGAGTCATCTCCTGGACAAAAGCATTAATGGAGCAGAAGATGTCTTGCAACCTCATCGCTGCTGAGACTGTGCCTGTGCCACCTCCAGAGCTTGGTGCAGGGTAAATGCTCTGAGCTGAAAGAAGTCAAGCAGTTTCACAACCTTTCTCTAATTTTGTGTGTCACTCATCAGCCAGCAGACACAGTGGAGTACCTTGGGCTTGGACAGCCCTCATGGCTCATCCAGGACTTGGAGACCCAGCCAAGAGCATTTACACGGACCATATGCTCTCATAAGCAGAGAAGACAGCATCGGATCAGGAGTAAGTGATGCATTATCAAGAGGTGGATCCTTCACAGCTTATCTGAGCAATTCCTCTGTAGGCTGCTTGGCTGCCACACAATGACGGAGCCATTCTGCTACCCCTGCTGGGCACACTGCCCTTCTGTAGGAGCTGCATATAACACTACATGTGAAAGACATGCTCACCTGGTCTAGTTTGGCATACCAGGTCCTGAAGGCTTTGTTCCCAAAGCGAGAAGGTTGATCCACTGGCGGGGTTTCATCGATCCATCTGTCAAGGGTGTTCAGAAGTGCCACCAGCTTTTCAATTGGCTACACAGACAAAGAAGATGAGAGGTCAAGGTGACATAAAACAGAGCAGTCCCTCAGGCTCTGACATCTATGCCCTGGATTGGCGTCATTAAAGCCCACACCATCTTTCCCAAGGGTGGCAAGCGGGGTCAGGATGTGCCAACCTTCCCCGAAATGCAGAGGGGCCAGGAAAACCATCCTTCCCCTCAGAAGATCAGTCCAGTACAAAGCCCAGCCTGAGGCAGGCTCTCCAGTCGCCCACACAGCCTTCCATAAGCTGCAACAGCACTATCCTCTAAAACCTCTGGGAGAAGAGCTACAGTAAGCTCCTAGCTGTAGGGCATACAGGACTGAGAAGTAGGGAAGTGCTACACAATTCAGAGATCTCCAACACAAAATTCAGGCTCTGCATCTTGAGGGTCCTGTGTCCCCCACAGGATACAGCACAGCACTTACCATATATCCTCACCAGTGGCTGATGCTGTGATTCTGAGGCTCTTCTCAAGGCTTCTAATCTTTGTCCTAAAGTGTCTTTTAGGAGCCAGGATTAACAGCGATGGCATTAGCGTTTGTACAGCACCCAGCGCAGCAGTGCGTAATCGCAAGTCAACCCTCTTGGCATGATCCCTATTGCTTCAAACTCATACCAGCCAGACTGCTATGGCCGCTCCAACCCAGGGATACCCACTGCACATGGCAAAATACAACCTACCCTAGTAGGCAGCCTGGTTTGCCCCACAGTGGTCTCATCAGAATAAGCATCAGAAGCTCGTGGCTCTCAGAGAAATATCTCAACATGAACACAAAGCTGATGGGAAGGCAAGTGCAACGGCAAGACAACAGAGCCACCTTTCTTACACCCAGTGCTGGAAGGAGAAACTGAGCAAGCTGTCTAGGATGTATGAGAGTGACTGGAGGAAGCACTGCTGTGGCCATGAAGGAAAAGAAGAGAGGTGCAACAGGCGATACAGCATGCTGTCAAGCTGTACCGTTAGGACAGAGCCTCCTCCCTGCCTTGCCCATACAGCTGGGGAATGGCTACACCCCACGCATCAAGAGGCAGCATCGTAGGCAGCACTTTAAGCAGCTCCAAACAGTTTTAGGAGGCTCTGCCGACAACTGGTCAAGCCTGCCAGAGGCTCTGGGATTCTCCTCATCCGACTCCAAGCAGCCGGAGAGCCGTCAGCTGCCACAGCAGCTGTCCAGGCCCCGGGCAATGTAGGCTCCTCTGTCTCGAGAGGGGATTCCTCCTTCAAGGGGACAAAGAGGACAGCAGAAGCAGCGGCTGGTTTAACTTTGCTGGAGGCATCGACCGTGTGAAGCCGGCTGGTCTCCTGGGCTGTGGTTCAATTCTTCACATTGCCTGCCGTGAGGACAAGGAAACAGCCGAGCCCAGCAAGTTTCTAGCCCTTGAAGTGCCACTCAAAGGGGGCGGGTGGAGAGACCGGCATGGCAGAGCCTCACTGTTGCTGAACCAGCTCATGCCCTCTGCTCCCAGGAGGAAGGGTCTCATGGCAGACACAGCCCCCCATAGACAGCAGCTCCTCAGGAGCTGAAGACATAGTGGGTTCAGCCAACGGGAAGCAGGATCAGGCACAGGAGAGATCTACCCGCCCCACAGGACCTCGACACTTGGCCACTAAGCCAGGCTAGAGGCTGGGATAGAGGACAAGACCTGAGCACACCAGGAACACAAAAGAGCCAAGGGACACAGGGGTCCAGCAGCTCTGGGTGCCCTGGTGAGTCTGCAAGCTGGAGCCACTAACGGGCCAGTAGCCCAGATTCACATGGACCGAGACAGCGTGACCTTCTCTGCTTCAGCTCCCTGCTGCCCGAAATGCTGCAGAAACGTGGCCTCTCCCCACTGCACCGGGCAAGGTTTGGACTCAGCTCTACTCCTTCCTGGCTATTGCATTCCCCTCCAATTAAGCAACAGCGTCCCCAGCACCGGGTTGCATTAAATAATTAAATCGTGATGGTGATTTATCCGCCGGCACCAGCAGCTCATTACAAGCAGCTACCGTATTTCAAACCCCTCTCAGCGAGCACTCTGCTGCCTGGATAAATGGCTGGCAAAGACCGGCTCCTTCCCCCTCCCCAGATCTGCCCACAGGCCTTGGGGAGCTCGACAGTCGAACCTCCCCTTCCCCACTCGCTTGCTTTAAAGGGATTAAAAAGCCCAGCCCCACTGAACACGGGAGAGCAGGACCCAGCTGCCGGCTCACCCATGCCAATAAATAATTAAAGAGATGCGGCTCGTTTTGGGCTCAAGGCCCTTTGAAAAGGGGGTAACTAAAAGAAGCAGCTTCCCATTGTCCAGCAGAGGAAACTTGTGCATCCAGGGCTGACCTCAGCGGGGGAAAAGGGGGGGAAGAGCAGAGCTTACGGGAACACGACCATCAGCACCACTGCAGCCTTGTTTTGCCTGGCTGGGTTTTTAAGCTCTATTTTTGCTTTACCTTTCCAATGATCAAAGCAAGGGCAGCCTCCCCCCTGCTCTCCTTGCTCTTCTCGTTGTGCTGATTTTGCATCCCCTTGACCCTGAGTCTGCCACCGGTCCCAAAGGCAAACCACAGAGCTTCCTACAGAGCAGAGACCTGTCAGCATCTCTCAAGAACAGAGGCCAGGCAGACGGAGGTGCTGAGATGGCACCACAGCAGCCAGAGCTGCCCACGGGGACCAAGCCTGCCACTGAGGGCTCCTTGGACCCTGTGGGAGGGGGGAAGCTGTTAAAATCGGGGCATTTGCTGCTTCCCCCACTTCACTCCTGGAACCAGAGCAAGCCACAAGGCCGGCCAATTTCCCCCAGTGCAGTGAACTGTTGGAAGGGAAGATCTGCTCTTCGCATGCCCAAAATTAACCTCCTCCTTGCTGCACTGCTCCTCTGATCAAAGTCATAGCTTTGAAAAACTGCTCCAGGCTGTAGCCCCAGGAGTCGCTGCACATGTCCCCACGTGAAAAGCACTCCCCTCCAGTAGGAGAAGGCAGGTCACAGCCTATCAGTCATACAACCTTGTGCCAGACACAGCGTCTACACCAGCGTCCTAAACAACAGCTCAGCTATCACTACTTGTCAGATGCCTCCAGCAAAACCCCAGACAGCTCCACACAATTTTTCAGTATGAGCAGAGCAAGCTCAGCAAGTCTCAGAAGGGGCTCAGCCCCCAAAGGATCCAGCTCTCACTCCAGCAGACAGTTTGGTATTGACACACACTACTCTGGAAACCATTAAGCTGTCTCTTTCAAAGCACACCAGACCATACTTCCGCCCCCCCCCGCCCCCCTCCTCTTTTTTTCCACGGCAAAGCAATACCAGTAAGTCATGGAGAGGATACGCATTCAGCAGAAAGGATTCCAGGAGGTCATTTGCCAAAGGCAGGCGTCCCCAGCATTTGATCAGGGAGGAAGATGGGATGGCACAAAAGCACATCAGCAGCAGGTACAGGAAAAGAGAAGAAAGCAGAGCAGAGATGCAAGCATAGGCCACAAGGGGCCGAGCCTTTAAAAGCACAGATAAGCAGTTTGATCTACAAACGAACCCGCGTGAACAGGCAACCTCATCAACAAGGCAACCCTGGGGATGCTCCACCTGTGCCTCAAGTCACAGGCTTCTGCTCTCCTCAGCGCGAGGGGAGTGAGACACGTCCCCTGCCCCTTCCCAAGCAGTCAGGATCGTGTCTCTTGTTTGTCACCTGGACTGGGACTGCGGATGGAAAAGATTCACTCCAAGAGGGATCTGCTGCATGGATATAGCTCTGATACAGCTTTTCCCAGAGAGCTGACAGCTCAAAGGGGATGGCGGAAGAGGGGGAGAACCCCCCTGCCTTTGTTTTGTTCATTTTTAATGCTTTGTTTCCCTAGCACTGCTCTGTGAATGGTTGGGAATGAGCGAGATCATGACAAAGACAAAACTCAAAGGTGAAATGCAAACAGCGGAGAGCAAGAGCAGCATTTGGCAGCAGTTTCTACTGAACTGAAGGAACAAAAGGTGGACACAAAGCCTGTTAGGGAGGGTCTCATTATCCCTGATTTCCCCCATGAACTACAAGCAAGTTTGTCATTGACACACTGGCTCCTAGAAGGGAAGGCTGGACTTAACATGCCTGCTTCAAACATAAATGACTAGGTTAAAGATCATCGTAGGCTGCCTTCCCACACCAGAATGAAGCTATAAACACACAGGGCCCAGCCTTCTTCCCATTCTGCCTAGATCTTTTTAGAATAATCACAGCTGTGTAAGAAAGCTGGGAGAAGTTCTAACAGTAAAAATGTACCCAAGAATCTCCCCATTCTGCCTAGATCTTTTTAGACTACTCCCAGCTTTCTTGCACAGCCGTGGTAAGTTGTAAGAGTAAAAACGTACCCAAGAATCCCCTCATTGCAATGCAGAACAAGGGAGTGGGATCCAGCATGCAGCACAGAAGCAAAGCTGGCAGCCAACATACGCTCTGCAGACCACGGCAGCACCCAGAGACCTCAGGCCAGCACTGAGCACAGCCGAGGCCAGGCGCTACCATCACTGAGGATGCCTGCCTTTCCCCTCTGGCTCCAAACGATCTCGCCATGCCCCGATAAGGTGAACAGGCATTAAAACTGGCCACGGCAGCAAACAGAGCCGGGTGACAGTCACATTAATACAAGGGGAAAAAAATAGGTACTTTCTGCTTCACACCTCAGAAGGGGCGATCCTGCCCCACATGCTAAAAATACCACCCCAGCCCAGCCCTCCTCTGTGCTCAGCAGCCCCCCGTAGCCCTCAGCACAACCCTTGGCGAGGCAGGTCCACTCAACAACATGCCTCGAGCTCACACGCTGTCAAACCAGACTTGGCACAGTTCAGCCAAAGCGTGGGCCGAGGAGATCGGTGCTGTCAACACAGTCTGAGCAACAAGGAAGCCCAGGGTCAGGGAGACAAGTGACTTGCCCAAGGTCCCACAGAAAGGCCAGTGCTCAGAGAACACGAACGGTACAGATATCTCAGCCTTTTGCCTGCAACCGGGAAGGAATACCACACCTTCAAAACATCACTGGTTGAAGCCTGACTGTGAAAACAGGGTCAAAACATATCCTTTCTGCATCCTCCTTTTCACCACCAGCTCGTGTCCACTTGTAACTTGCTTGATTTCCCATCCAGCAAGCACACACAGAGCCTCTGCATCCTGGGAGGAGGACTGCATGCTGACATTTGCACCCCCAAGTATAACCCAATCGCATTTATTCTCTCTGGTTCCCAGATAAGCTGCCAACTCATTCCTCACCCAGGAAATACTCACTGTAGAATCAAAAAAATCAAAAAGGCGGAAAAGGAGAAACAAGGGGATCCAAACTCTTCTCCTACCTCTGAAACTTTGTATTCGCAGGTCAGCTTCTTGCCCCTGACACCTTCATTCAGAGTGAGGATGAAGCCCATGTAATCTGCGTATGCCTGCAAAGACACCCAAGAGAGCAGGGCGTTAGTGAATACCCACGGTCTGTTTGAACGAGCAATGTGGCATGGGAGCACTCCTGCATACTGAGGGAACCTTTCCCAACACATGACATTGCTTTCTTGGAGACACCCAGGGTGCAGGGCTTGATGAGAGGTTACTGCTATTTTTGGCAGACCTCAGAGGCAGATGGTGATTACACTAAGAACTGCACATTGCAGAGTTCTTCTCTCATTACAGAGAGAAGAATCCTAAAAAAGCTCACACTGCCCCCAAAATCCTTCCCTCAATCTTCCTGCCTCCTACTGGGTCAAATTCAAACTCCTTGGCTGTGCAGAGTCTCAGCTGTGCCCAGACATCCCGCTCTGCGTTGCTTCTCCCAGACCTGCACCGTTATCTCCCCCTTCCTTCTGCTCTTCTCCCATACTAATGCATGATGGAAAAGTGGGAGAGAGCCCAGTCTCCTCACTGCTCTTCTCTTTAAATTTGCTGCTTTTGAAGCATCATATCCAGTGCAGCTCTACAACTCTAAGTCTTTGAAAACACCAGACTAGTACGCTGCCACCTCTTCGTCCTTGGGTCCCTCTTGCACAGAAATCCTAACCAGGAGCAAGTGCTTAAACGCAGGAGACTTAACAAAGGAAGCTACACTTGAAGGTTTGCTTGAGATCTGACTATAACTTAAGCTTCTCTTAAGACATCATAGATCAGTCATCAAGCAAGAACTTGCTCCTAAGAGGTGGGACAAGTCTGGGCTAACACACCAATCCCTCAAAGGCAGAGAGGGGAGAACTTGCCTGTTCCACCAGCTCCACACAGACTGTAAACAAAAATTATCCAGGAAATTGCAGGCCTTGGCTCTAGAGCCCTTTCCAGTACAGCAAGGTGGGACGGCCCCAGAAACCAACCCAGCCTGATGTTATTAGAGGGCCAGGAAGCAGGACCATGTTCAAGCTGAGTTCAAACAGCACTATGTAAATACAGTTTTGACATAACATACAGGCTAGGTTGGAAGAAATAGTTACCAGCTTCTCATCTAGCTTGTTGGGAGAGAGCAGTGATAATTTTTGAGCATCTCTGGTCTCCCTCAACCTCTGGGCTCTCCCTGGCTCACTCCTTTGTCAGAGCATTTGGCTGCCAGACTCCACACCTCACTGCCAAGTCATTTTCCTACAAACAGGCAGTGACTCTTCTGCTTTAAAACACAAATCAATTAATTTCCCATTACTTGCCCAAACCTGCTTTACCTTGTGGCTGTTCCCAAACCAGACCTGGCTACCACTGAAGCATAATAAGCACTTACCAGCTTTCCCTGACCCCAGAGCCATACCTGAGAGCGCTTCCACTTGGCCATGTCAGAAACCATATTTATCTCCTTTTTGGGGATCACGAAGCTCTGCTGGAGAGGAGGAGCCACCTCCTCACAGGTGCCTGGGAGATGCAAAAGAGAGGTAAATCAAGGCAGTGGAGAAGAAGAAATCTTCTATCTTCCTTTCTTAGGAATCAACATTAATTTCTCAGGAGACAAAAAGCAAACAAATCCATCCCAGCTTGCACCGTTAGCTCACCAAGTCCTCCTCACCAAACAACATCCTCTCGATCCCCAGAAAACATACACCTAAGGACACTGCAAGTCTTCAGCAAGTGGCATTATGTCTGTTTTCACCACTAAAGATGCACTTCCCATCCAGATAGAGAGGCTGGTGCAGGAGCTAACAAAGGCTATGTCCAGCTAGTTTAATTATTTGTGTCTAATGAAGACACAGTGCTGAAGCACTGAGCTATCCTAACAAACTACCTGTGCCTTGTTTTTAGGCTGTTAAGCCTGAACTGCATTCCCCTGAAAAGGACAACTCCTGCAAAGATAAAGCTGGAGCAATTCAATAGATGGCAGTCCAGAGCTGCAGCCCGCTATCCAGGCAGCACCGGGGCTTGGAGGATGCCGGGACACAGCCTCTTCCAGGTGGAAGCTATGAAGATCATTTAATTTAAAAGCACTCTCAGAGCCCAGGATATAAGATTTAACGCAAACACAAATTGTTAATGCATTAGACCAAGCTCTTCCTCTGGGCATCTGAACCACAGACCCAACCCTGCAGTAAGGGTCAGTCCTTCCCCACTCTCCGGAGCTCTGCTCTCAGCTGGTAGTCCCACACCAGGCCACTGCAGAGACAGAAATGCTCCACAAGGTTAGAGGTAATTTGTATTATGCTCCTATAAGTGTGACTTTAAATAGCAAGAGGCAGTGCAGCAGCCCACCGTTAAGGAAACTGGGGGCTAATATGAATTTATGAATTCCGTTAGAGTCACCCAGTTCATCTTTTTAATCCTAGAAAATCTGAAGGCATTTGTTCAGCACCAGCCACCCCGGCAACACTTCAGCGACTGCTCTCCACACTATGGCAAGCTCAGGCACTGACTCCCTAACATACACCACCAAACTCCAACTCCGTAAAATATTATTAGCTGCATTTACATAGAAAATACTACCCAGAAGCATCAGCAGCCTTTTCTGCAGCAGAGCAGTGCTGTCTAGCAGGCAGATCAGGGAAAAAGGAATCTGAAGTCCCAGGAACCACATAGAGTCTGATAGAGACTTGTCACATAATCTTAGAAAGTCATTTAACTTCTCTGCCTTTCGAGTTCCCTATCTACAGAACAAATGCAGTCTCGTCACCTGCCTAGGGCGTTACGGGGTTTGGTTCATTCCTCTGTGTAAGTTACAGTAAAACTCCCAGGTACAAGGATGAGAGGAACAACACACAAGGAATTTAAATGAAAGACACACGTCTCTCCTCCGAAAATTCAGCACACAACTCTCAATGACTAGCACCATAATGATGGAGCTCTTATTTTAAAATAACTTACAACATTAAAACAATGAAAAACTCCAGAGCAGCAGTGCCAAAAGGCAAACACTGACTTGTCCATTAATACCGATGACACATAAAAAACAGAGATGCAGCCAGGGCAGTGTCCTGGACCTGGGGGATCCAGATGTTAGCCCAACCGCTGGCTCATCACAGAATTTATTTCATCTCTTTGCGTTTGTTTCTCAACCAACACTTCTTCTGATACACACTTTGTGCATTTCCTCTTGGGGAGGAGATCACAGATACTCAAGGAAGGAAACGCCGTGAGGTCTGCGGGGGTTACAGTATTATGAAACCAATACAAAGGCAAAAGTCCAACACCAATGATGGGATGGGGACAGGAACACAACGGGTTTGTTTTATGAGGAGAAGTGACTTGTACACAGGCGACACTTTCACTTTCACTCTCGTGGTGTGGGGAGGGGGACTCAAACTCAGCCGAGAGATGGATTTTCCACACTGGCACACACCACCTGCTTCAGCAACGGGAAACGGAGTCGCAGAAAACGGGGACAGACGACGGAGCGCCCCGACTCGGTCGGCGGCCCAAATCCCGACCACCTTTGCTCCGGGGACGCGCCGGAGGGACCCACACACCCAGCCAGCCCTCACGGCACAGAGGTGCCCGTCCCCG